GATAAGTTTTATACTTGGTTAATTATACTCCTTTATTAATATAATATATAAGTTTAGTACCTAAAAGATTAACATCTCGTCAGTGTTGAAACTCAAAAAAAAATACAGAGATATTTATACATATTGAATAAATAATAAAATAAACTAAACTAAATATATCGAAGAAAATAAAGTTTCCATTTCGCTAGACAATAAAGTTGCTGTATCAATAGAATTGCCAGATCTGCAGGCAACTAAATGGACATCTATGATCTACGTGATTATTAAAGACAATAAAATTGACATCTAAAGATTTGCATAATTGATCGATGGCAATAAAATGAATAAAATGATCTTCATAAAAGATCTACATGGCAATAAAATTGACTTCATATTCTACTAATTAAAATCTATCTAAAATTTTATCTATCACAACACAGAACAATAATAACATAACAATTACTATAAGTCTTGCTTGAAAAACAAAATATTTTTTTAAGTTATGTTTATATAGAAGAATTCAGCATGACTATCCATTAAAATTTATAGGTAATATGGATGAGACATCTTTATGGTTTGATTTACCAAATAATTCTACTATAGATCATAAAGGTACAAAAATGGTTAGCATTCGTATTATAGATTATGAGCATTTATCTTTTACAGTTGTACTTACATGTATGATTGATGGTAGCAAACTTCAGCAGTTTGCATTTTTAAGTTGAAAAATTTGCCAAGAGAAAATTTTCTTCATGGTATTCATATACAAGCAAATAAAAAAGGGTGGATGAATGAAAAAGAGATGTTATGGTAGACTGAAACTGTGTAGATATCAAGAAATCCTTTTAGTAATTCACGTTTCTTATTAGTAATATATTCTTTTCACGATCATATTGTAAATTCAGTTAAAAATTGATTGGTAGAAAAAAATACAAATATTGCTATAATTCTAGATAGTTGCACATCAAAATTGTAACTATTAGACGTTGCAATTAATAAAAGCTTTAAAACTAAGATAAACAAGTGTATAATTTTTAAGTTTAAATTTTTATTATTAATAATTTAAAATATTTATTTAAATTTATTAATTTTTTTTATTAATAATTTGAAGATTAAAGAACAATATAATGATTGGATATCATCTACTATTTATGCTCTTACTCTAGCTAGAAGAATTAAAAAACCTTCCTATTCAACAGTTGCAACATGAGTTAAGGAATCATAGGACAAAGTTGATAAAGATCTTATTAGAAGGTCATTTAAATGTTATGGAATTTCAACGAATACTGATGGTTTAGATGATAATAACTTATTTGATTATAATAAATTATTGGATATTCTGGAAGATGAAGATGAAGTAGATTTAGAAAATAATTCTAGTGATGAAGAATATATTGAAGAAAATGATTATAAAAATGAATAGGAAATTAGAATGGATAAAGGTAAAAATAATGAAATTAATTGTAGCGATAAAAATAGTGAAAGGGAAGTTAGAAATCAAATTAAGATTATTTTTTTGATGAGAAATAACATCTTATATTGAAAGAATTAATGAAATGTATTATATTTTAGTAATATCACATATAATAAATTCGTCAATGTATATCAAAAGCTTTACATTAAAGCTAAAAAAATATTTTTGATCTTTAAAAAATATATATTGTAAATAACGTCATTAATTTTTTTATCAGCTAATCAAATTTATAGAGATATTCTGGATATTTTATAAATTTTGAAGGTTAAAATCCAAACACCTCCATGTGAAATATTTGGGTATTTAAGAATAGAGTATTTTGCCTTATATGATCATTATATAAAAAAATGTTTAAAAAAAAATATTTTGTAATACTAATTTTCTATATAACATGAACTTTTTGTAATACTTAACATAAATGGATAAAATTTATATGGTTAGAAAGCCACAGTCTTGAACTTTTATTTTTTAACTTAAAATATTTTGTTGCTTAAACTTATTTTTGAAAAACCTTTCAATGAAGTTTTAAAAAGGTTGCGAATGTCATTATTTTTAGCGAATATGAAATAAAGAATATTATTAGCTTCCACCTTTTTAGTTTAGTTTTAAGTCAACTCTTTGTATGAGTCATTAATGACCGCATAACGTATTCTAAAATTATAAAAATATATATTTTTTATTCTTTTAAAATATGGTATTTATAATATATATATTTTTTTCATAGTTGTCTTCGAGAGCGAAGCCATATTTCCCAATTTTCTGCTATTATTAGCTCATTTGCATCTTCAATAACCCTAATTATATGAATATTTGTTTACATTATATTTCCATTTGGATTTGGCTGATATAAATTTATTATTACCTTTACAACTCCACGTATTATAAGCCAATCTAGTAAGTGCTGAGCATCAGCTTTTATTCGAATATATTTTTCTTGCTTCTCATTATAAATTTTTATTGAGATTAGTTCTTCATTATCACATTTAAGATGACAATAAACCTATATAATATCCTTTGGTAAAATTATTTTTTCAGTTTCATGTAACTTGTTCATTACTTCTTTAACTACCTCTACTATTCTAATAGTATCAGATTTCACATTAATTTTACGCACTGATTCAGCTTGTACTCATGTGTAGTTATCAAAATACCCACATAGAGGATTTATAATATCACCATTCCATGCAAAGTATTTTGCAAGCATATATTCCCTACAGATATATTGTTCTTCACAGAAATGAACAACTTTGAATATTTTTTCGCGTACTCTAGCCAGGTATGCTTGCCTTTTATTTGCTTTAAGCTATTATTATTCATGTCTTTAGTTACTCTACAAAATATATTATATTTAATTAACTTATACTAATAGCTTTATACTTTTTATAAAATTAAATACTTATGATTCTTTACCTTACGTTATAATTATATAGTTAGTGCAAATATCATGGTAGCTATAAAAAATTACAGACTTGCAGAATTACGATCTCTTCCTGCTTTTCCAGTTTCTTGTACAAGATTACCTATTTTGAAAAAGTGTAATTATATTTTATGATTCAATTTCCTTTCAATATAATAATAAATTAATAATTCTTTACCTATATTTAATGGAAAAGCATAGTGTATTACTAATCAAACTTTTTTATCATTAAGACTCATACCAAAAGCATTGGTTGCAATCATAAGCTGAATTGCATTATCTTTCCATAATTTCAACTTCTTTTTTTTCTCTTCGTCATCCAAAGAACTATAGTATACAGCCATCATTAATTTAAGGTCTGATTTTTCGTGAAGTTACTCATAAATATTATTACATGCTTGTACTATTGGACAGTAAACAATACATTTTCCTTCTTCTAATTCCTTTAGTAGTTTGATAATTTTTCCAATTGTTTTTTCTTTTGTACTTTTAGAATGTACTTCCATTGTAAGTTCTGAACGCGAAAAAGATATTTCTTAAACAAAAACTGTATTATTTGAAGTAAAACAAAGATTTTTCAAAATTATACGAGCATCAGATTTCTTACAAGTTCTTGTAAGCATCATAATCGGGCTGCCTGAAAATAAAGTAGAGATTTTCTTTAATTAGTTCCATGATTTTCTATATAAGAAAATTTCAAATTGTTAATATATTAAAAGAGTTTTTAATTTCAAACTGAATTAAATGCTTATCTAAAATAGTTACATTCTACAATGCAATGTATTTCATTTATTATAAAAGATACAGGTGCATATTTGGCAAAATTTAGGAGCATTGCAGTAAAGGATTTATTGTAAATAAAGCTTTTTGCGATTATATATAAAAGTTTGATTAGTCTAATAGTGATTTCAGAAAAGACCTTTTCAAAATACTGTAGAGGTTGATGCTTTCCCACATAAATGCTAACGCATCCAATTCTAGCAGCAATTGTTTCAATCTATAAAAAATCAGATAATGGTTAATTATAATTCTTTTTTTTAAATAATCACTCTTAACATACCACTTGGTTATTAATTAGAGATACCAATAAGCTTATTACAATAGTTAAACCTTTACGCAGAATTGCAGAAATCTAATAACATATTGTTTTTTCTACACCTATATACATTGAAATAAACGTATATTTTCCACTAATATATGCTAATATTACCACCTCTTGTATATCTCGAAACTCTTGGTATCCAATACATTATATAAGGTAGACAGATTTGTTTCTGAGTTTTGTAAAGATGGTATATATTGCTTATTTGGAAATTCCTGATGCAATCTGAATTTAAGACAAAAATCATGGTATCTGCATAATCCTGATGGAAAATACTTTGGAAAAGCTTTACAAGCTATACATTTTTGGATTTTTTTGAAGTCAAGCATGTATTTGGCAAATGTAGGTTCAAATACTTTAGCTTTGATTTTTTCTTGTACACTACGCTCATAAGGTATGAAATCCTAAAAAAAGTAAAATATTATTAATATTATTCATTTATTTAATCAATTTTAAATTATTTTATACTTACCTTATCCCAATCAAATGTTTCCAAGCTACTTCTTTGTTCTTGAATTTTTTTTCCACGTTCTTTATTTCACTGATCAATTTCTTTGATTTTGTTTTTTTCATTCTTCAGCGATCTTATAAATATTTTTCTTGTCTATTTCAGAAAATTTTTTAAGATTACAAGCTGATCAGGTAATTTCTAGCATATTTAATAATCTATTATTATATTGAAGAATGGTGTTAACGTTACTCTTTCTGTCGAATAAGTTAACTATGATTTAAAGTCAGAGAAACAATAGCTATGACTTAAATCCAATCAACTTGACATGCTGTTTATTAGAGAGTTTATTTGGTTAACAAGAATAAAGTTATAAGTTTTATGTTTGCAAAATATTAAGATTGTTTATTATTGTTATTAAATGTATATTAAATACAATATTGAAATCTTCTTGGAATCTATCCTTTTTCTAAAGCATTTTTATGCCCTTTATATAGGAAAATTATAATTAAAGAAAATCTATGGTATTTATGATACTACTAACAATAATAACAGAGCTAACAGATATGCTAATTATATTAAATATATAATAAATGATAATAATAATAGATATAATAAAGATATAATAAATGATATTCGTATCCTATTTGGCAGATTTAGCAGATTTGGCAGATTTGGCAGATCTGGTATATTTGGCATATATGTCATATTCAACAGGTCTGTCAGTTTCTGCCAGTTTCAATGGCAAGAGCATGACGTATACAGTAAGTTTTCCAATAATCAATTTTTTTATCCAAAAAGCATAGTTTATCTTGATTGAATGCTTCATTATATGATATTCTGATATGTGTAATCAAACTCTGTTTTATAGGTATATAGAAGCATTCTTTGAGAAATTTGTGAAAATTTTCCCTTTGATTAGTTGTATATTCCTTTAAATGTAATATATTTAATTGAATGTCAGGATTTTCTTTTTTCTAGCATACTTCATTCCAACAAAGACTATTATCATCTAAAAGGTGAGCGATAAGTCTGTCAATATGTACTTTTTCTAATTCAGCATCTGATACAGTAATCTTATTCTTATTAAGTTTTAGTCTACTTGCTGCATATATACATGAATTATAATAGGTCATGATTGTATTTTTCATAATCTTTCCATATAGAATTTTGACTATCATTTTAGATCAAACGAAAATTAGAATCAAATTTTATAATTATAACTAGAATCTTTTTAATTGTTTATTTTATTTTTTGAAAAATTATAATTAGCGACCCTCAAGATTGACCAATCATATTTGAGATTATGTAAGCAAATTCACATAATACAAAAATAATGTATATGAGAATATATGAAATATGCGCATATGCTATTAAATTTTTATATTATGTGAATAGTCATATGAAAAGGCTTATACCTTTACACATATTGCATAAGTGGCTTTGATTTTTTTATTCTTTAACGAAAGTACTAACATTAGTCATTCTTTTATTATAATATCAGAGCTGACACGTCTATTACCTAAAATATGACCTTTTTTTTTATAGAAATTCAAAGTAAAGAAACGAAAATTTATTGTTAACGTTTTCTTTTAGAATTTGCTCTAAAACTGACCTTATAACTTATTATTGTTTAATTTGAGTTATTTTATTTACCATTCCTTTACAACCTGACTTGTTATATATAAATTATTTTATCAGATTTATATAACTACCTTTTTTATAACTTACAATACTCGACTTTGTCAACATTTTTATATTTTATAACTTGCCTTCATTTTCATTTACAATGGATAAAGAATTTGACAAATTGATGGCATACGATAGTGCAGAAGTCTTTTCTGATACAGATGGATAAGAAGTAAGATATTTTAGTTAGTAAGTTGTAAAAGTTGTAAAAGTTAACATTTCTAATATTTTCTTGCTTATCTTCTAATTTTTAGGTTTGATGATATTACAGATATGATAAATATGGTAAATACGGTAGATGTGACAGATGTAGTAGATGTAATGGATGTGGATGCGACAAATGCAGTGGATATGATAGATGCGTTGGAACTGTTTGTTGGTAAAACTTTTCAAAACTGAGACTATGTAGCAAAATTCATAAAAAAATATGCTGCTTCTAAAGGCCATGGAGTACAGATAGATGGTGGCAGCAAGGTAGACAATGTAACAAAGAAAACTATAAAGTGAACTTACCATAGCACTATACCAAAAAGTTAAAATCTAGCCGAAAACTACTTCATCATTCAAATGCATCTTCTTGTCAAATAGGATGCCTATGGAAAGTCAACATTTGGGTTAAAAAGAGTAAAAACTGTCTCGAAGTCACAACTTTTCATGATCAACATGTTGGCCATGAGCTTCATATGTTAGTGAACCAATTTGATCTAATATTACAAAAATTACCATAAAAAATCATTAAAGAAATTCATTTCCTAACAGTCATTGCCAAGGCGAATGCTACTGTACAATATCGAATAATTTGAAAGAAATATAAAACTAGAATTTACTGATGAGATTTATATAACACTATTAGTAAGTTTCATCGTGAATCAACACCAGATGAAGAAGACACAGGATTATTAAGAAGACCCATGATAAAAAGATTGAAGATCCACAATAGGTGGTCTCGATGAAATTTGATCCTATTACTTCTTTGTTAACTCACCTTTTTTGGATGAGTCCTGAGTTACAAATTTTGTGGTTACGTTATCACAATGTAGTAATGCATGATAATACATGCAAAATGAATCATTATAACTGCCCTTTATCTCTTTTTATTGTACCTGATAATAACTTAAAAACACGTATTGTTGCTCAAGCTATTGTCGATGATGAAACACAGACTTCTTACGAGTGAGTTTATAAATATATTAAGGAAACAACTGATATACTGCTAAGAGTCTTTGTAACAGATGGTGACCCGACAATCAATATTGCTGTTATAACACAGTTTCCCGATACTTTTCACATGCATTGTATTTGGCATATATGCCAAAATTTACCAAAGCAATTAAAGGGAATACTTGGTTCTGATTATAGTAAATTTATGAAGGTTTTTTTACAATGAGAAATAGTTTAACAGAGGAGCAATTTAATAAAAGGTGAAAATGTAGCAAATTTACTTGAAAAACATACAAAAATGTTTAATAATACTGTAATAAAATTAATAAATTTGTAATTCTTAGCGACATTTAAATTATTAAATTGTTTATTTTTATTTTTTTTATCTTTTTTTGATTAAACAATTTATTATTTAATAAAGGTAGTAGAAGTTATTACAAGATTATTCAAATTTTAAAGATTATTTAATAAGGTCTTTAGGATGTAATTCTCAATCATAGGCATGTGCATTCACAAGCAAATATTTTACAGCTGGTATACAGTCGACTTCTCGTAGCAAGAATGAAAATTCAACGTTAAAACAGCTTTTTAGAGGGTCAAACCTTTCATTATGTGAATTGTTTGATTTCTTAGAGGAAAGATATCAAGAAGAGATTGATTATTGTGAATTTGTAAACTGGAAGCAGACAATCCTGCAAATAGGACCCAAAAATGCAGCAAAGTCTATTTTCGAGTCAGTAGTAAAATAATTAAACGAATTTGCAATACCAAATGTTATAAAGAAGCAGAAGCAGGAGAAACAAATGAACTTAAGTCTATACTATCATACTATGGAAATTGATTTTGAAGTTGCGCGTTTTATGGAAAAGGTGAATTTTCTATTTGTTATGTTCAAATTCTATAACTTAATAATATAAAGTCAGTCGGACTTATATAGAATTAGACATATAATGTCAATGATAGGCTGTTTGAAATTCAATTTTAATATTACATTAGTAGGATTGATAGAGGAATTTTTCATATGCAACTGGTCAAATATAAAAGTATCACATTTATCATTTGTTATTAGATTATTAACATTGGAATGAATTAAGCAGAGTAAATGCAAACAATGATAATCAAGTTATTATGTTATATTAATATTGGCTATAGAAGATCTGTTTCAGGAATTGGACTTTTAATTGGCCAGAACAATTTCTCCTTTATTAATATCAGAATACTAATACCCTTTTTAAATTTTTTTTTTATAGGAATTTAATGAATTGGACTGATGTATTGATAACTTATTCAACTGCTCACAAGCACAACTGAGCTCACTTTTAGAAGATTCTTCGACAATTCTCAAAGTCTAGGAAGTTTTATATTTAGCAAATTCTAATAGTTCTCATTTCGTATATCTTTTGAATGACTGTACCTATCTTTGTATATGTATGATAAATAAGACTCATGGTTACCTATATCACTATTTTTACTGTGTGATGACCTTTACGCCTACTGCAAGGTTTCATATCAGTTTAGTGAATCAGTGTTAGTACAAGAATGTTTTACAAAGAACTGATATATTAAATAGCGAATTTGTAGTTATTTCTCTGAACAAATCAGCATCAAAAACACATTCTCTCCCAACAAGATTCTTACAATCATCAAATTTATATGAATTTGATGCCAATCAGGTTAAAAAAGCTGTTATTTCAGATGATGAAATATCTAAAGCTATATCAAAGAAACATAAATTTGGTGAACTTTGTGATCTAAAAAAAAAGATAATGATAGATGCTATTGAGGATAACAATGAGGATAATTATCATGAACTTTTTGAATTTTTTTTATCAATTCAGAAAAGATCATTCCAGAGAATTATTAATGATAATCATGATATTAACATTAATAATAGTAATGTTATGATGGATATTCAAAATCCTGTTGAACGAAAATCAAAAGACCATCCTAAAATAAAAAGAATTAAAAGTGTTATAAAAGAATCTAACATCAAGACCCAATATAAGTGCAAATCATATAAGCAGAAAGATCATAATAGTAAAACTTGTAGATTTAATAAAGAAAATGAAGTTAAAGGGTGAGTTTTATATTTTTTTGTATTAATCAATTAATATATGCTTAATTTCTAATTATTATTTATTTAAAGCCATGAATAATTTTATTATTTTAATTGAAAGTGTAAAAGAAAAAAAATAAAAATTATATAAATTATAAATGCTATTGTTATTTTCAGTTCAATAATCATGTGATTATATCATGTGATTAGGATTACCATGGTGACAGGGTCACTAAAAAATGTTACCCTTATTTTTTAATTTAATTTATTTAAAAAAGCTTTATTTATAATAAGTAATTATAAATCTTTTAATCGTTTATTATATTTTTTAATTTATTTATTAATTTATTTATTTAAAAAAGCTTTATTTTATAATAAATAATTACAAATCTTTTAATAGTTTATTATATTTTTTAATTTAATTTATTTAAAAAAACTTTATTTTATAATAAGTAATTACAAAATTTATTTTACTAAAGATATGATTAAAATAATATTTAGCTTATAATCCTCTCAAAATTTCAAAATTACAAATAATAAATAATCTAAAAGCATTAAAATTTTAATAGATTTAGTAGTCTTAAAACTTAACCCTTACTTTAAACAACTTACCAATTTTTGCTCTAATATTTTTGCTGATATGTTTTAAATTTACATATACTTTGTTTACACATGGAATATTATTTAAAGTCTTGTTTGAGTTTAGATTACCATCAACTCCTATATCTAAAAGTACTTCAGTCGCTTCTAATACAGGCACAATTTTTTCAATAATTCATAATAATATTGCATACTCTATTTGCTATAATGTCTTTTCGTGATTCCTATAAAAAACCTCATATTCTTAGCCATCCTTTCTCTTTACTTTATGTGGTTTTTCTGTAGTCGCATAAGCAATAATAGGTTTATGACCATATCATATTTGTAAAATAAAATTCCATTTTAAATTCTGCTTTTTTTATTAACTAAAAAATCTTATTTCTACTTTCAAGACATCCTTGAAATATTAGTTCACCGCTAGCCTAGTTTGCATTTTGACAATACGACCAAGAACAGTTAAAACTGGTAGGTAATATTCTTTCATCTTTTGCTTTAATTTGTGTAATAGCTTTGGCCAAAACAATTTTTGCACTTGTTTCAGCTTCATTAATTATATTTTCCAAGTATTCATTTTGTTTATTATGGTAATATCCTTTTGATGATTGTGCTGTAATACCTATCATAAAAAATGTAATTTGAAATTGTTGCTTATTGACACCACCAACAAGTCCTGCACTTGCTATAAAAGAAGAGAATCATGCATTAGGTGATTTATTACTATATTCTGCAATTCCTTGGCATATTTTGCATTTAATTTTAATTTGAAGATTATAACCAATTCTACAAACTTCTAGTTTTTTTTTAGAAAGATCACAATTATGACATGTTAAACAAAGTTGAGTATATATATTAGTAAGATACTATTCAGTATTAATAAGAATCGTAAATCTAATATTTGTTTCTTCCATAGTTTTTTGCATCTAATTGTTTAAAAATTCTTGATCTTTTTTTTCTATTTCAAGTTTTTAATATACAGTGGTAATCAAAAGTATTGTATCACCCGAATACAAAATTTAAAATGGAAATATCTTGTAATTTAAAAGGCACAGTGTTACAAAACTTAAATATAGAGTTCATCATACCTTAATCTTTATCAATCTCTTTCATCTTTTTTTTAAGAATATTTTTTTTTTGTTATGAATCTTTCGCCAAAGTGGCGATGCATTTCTTTTGATCGATTTAAGAAATAAATATCAATACTTATTACATGATTTTTTTTACTTTAAAATAACTATGTGACATATATAAAAAAGATGCCTTATGGCATTTTTCACCTCTTTGTAATTTTATAAAATATCTATGGTTTATCTTTCTGTTGAATAAAAAGCTAGGATTTGTGTCTTATTTGATGAAGGTTTTCCTCCTGCTATATAGCAAACAAGGAAAATATTTCTTAATCAACTGTTATAAGAACTAAGCAACATAAAGATAAAACTGGTAACAATAAAAACAAACCTAAATCTGGGCATCTGTGACTCTTAACTGGTCGATATGAATGAAAAGTTTTGAGATTAATTACAACAGGTGAATGTAGCAATGCTGTTGCAATTCAAAAAAAATTAAAAATAGAA